CGCCTCAGTTCGCCAGGCAGGCCCCACAGGGGCCCCTCCCTTCTCTGCGAGACCTCCGGGCAGGGGCTGGGCCGGGCCATCTGGGCAGCTCGTCCTGGCCGGCGGCTGGCGTGGCAGGTGAGGGCAGTCTGACAGCCGCGTGGCTGCAGTGGAAGTGGGGAGGGCGGCTGCCCCTCGCCCCGCTTCTCGAGCTCCCCCAAGACTCACTGGGGAGCTGGGGATGAGATGGCAGGCTGGGGGCCGCGTTGGGCACTCTGAGGACGGGCAGCCTCCGGGCTCTCGGAAGCAGCCGTGCTGAGAAGCCCGCCCCACTGCATTGCTGAGCCCCGGCCTTCCTGGGGCCGCTGTGATGAATCTGTTACAGGGTGAGGTCCTCTGGGTCCCCCCAAACCTGCTTGCTGTACAGAGCTTCTGCCGTCCACCCCAAAGGTGGACTCGTAAGACCTTCAACGCAAAGGAATTTCAACGCAATTAGCGTGCGGCAAAGAAGTGAGAAGGGAAACACCAAGAATGCAGTGTCCAGCCAGCACCCCAGTCTCCCTCCCCTCGGGGGTACGGGACGGCCACACGGCGCACGTCTAAGGCCCCGGGGGACCCGCAGGGAAGGGGGCGGGGCAGCGGCACCCGGCCAGGGCCGCCCGCACCTCCGTCCCTGCCACGTCCCCCAAGCCCCTGCCCAGGCGGAGGCCGAGCGGCCAGCGCGACGTCGCCACTGGCCTCCGCACGCCCCGGGGCCGCTCCTGCTCCCAGCCTGCCTCCCCTCCAGCCTCCGCTCCAGCTTCTCCCGCTCAGCAACCCCCTTTTGGGGGAGGCAGAGAACCTGGAGCCCTTTCCCAGGGGACCCCTGTTACACTTCCTGCCCAAGGCCACAGAAGCCTCCAGGGTCCGGCCTGGGCCAGCCCCTGCCCAGCAGCTGGGTCCCCGGGCCCTTGACAAGGTGGGGCTGCAGCCATGACGGCTCTTGGGGCTGGTGCAGACCCAGCGGGGCTGTGGCCTGAGGTCTCCACAGCTCCCAGGCTGTGCTCAGGCTCTCGGTTAGGGCAAGCAAGGCCCAGGTGAGCGTGGGGTGGATGGGCATCCCACGTCCCCAGCGCCTGCTGCTCCCGGCCCTCTCCACCAGCCGCGTATGCAGGAAGGGTCAGTGGGGAGAAATAGCCCCAAAGGCCAGAGCCCAGCCACCCTCAGCGCCGCCTCTGATCTGGCCCGGGCTCGCCAGGCCCCTGCCCCACCCCCTGCAGTGTCCAGGCGCCGTGCCCAGGCGGCCGCCGCTCCAGAGGCTGCCAGGGGTCGGGGGCAGACTGGGGTGACTTGGGCATGGCAGCGGCCAGTGACCCCGGCCCCCAGCCCAGCCACGAGGAACCCAGGGCAGCCAGGCCCCCCGCTGACCATGACCTCAGCCAGTGTCAGCCCCTCTGGGCCTCCAGGGAAGGAGGGAGTTAGAGAGGAGGAGAGGGGGCTTGGCGCCCGGGGCCCAGAGGGGGTGGCTGGTCCTGGCCCCGGCTAGCGGAGCACCCGGGGCCGAAGCAGCGGCCGGCGGCCATCTGTCAGACCAGGCCGGGAGAGGGCGGCGGCCCCGCCTCTGTGTGGAAGGGGGGGAGGGGCGGGAGGCGTCGGGCAGTTGCACCGCTGGCCGCAGAGTTGAGGACTCTGTGCAGCAGGGCGGGCCGGGGGGCGGGAAGGCGGAGCTGCAGGACGGCGGGGACCCCGGGCACC